CCCCCCCCCCCCCCCTTTCGGTTCCCTTCGACCTATTCTCGGTGGTGCTTAGCACCGCAAGACGGACGAACAGGTCCTTGATGAGTACGTATGTGATTCTATAGGTTGTGGGCGCCTGATATTTGCGCTTGTGCATTACTATTCATATGGTGAGGAAGAGTCGAACCGGCTGAACGTCGTGCATTGAGAGTGGAGAGCTTGCTTTGCCCGACAAGGAACAATGACACCATGCCCCCGCCCTCCTGTTCTCGGGAAACTCGTGATTTTTCTCATGGATAGGACTCGGCCCAATGCCTAATTCAAGCTCCTTCTTCCGAGTGTATAGAGGTCATGCGAGTTCATGCGCACAAGTTCGCACGATGCCAAGATGGGAGAGGGGAACAGCTCCAAAAGAGGCGTTTAGGCATATTCGCCAGCGGGCGTGACGTATTGAAAGAAATACGTGCGGAATCGTGGGCAGGATGACATGCCAGGCAATGACACAACGGACCTTGACGAACCAGAGCCAAGACGGGGTGAGCAGCGAGAGCAACTTGAGTAATAATCTGTGAGATGGTCTCGTCATCAACGTACTTCAACTCGCGGCAGGTCCACATTGGTGACCCCGGTTGGGTCGTCTAGCTAGTAGAAGTGGAGGATAGGGGCCAGAGGGGCAGAAGACAGAGGCCGATGATGGGAGAAAAAAAAAAAATCGTCAATGCCAGCCTTTGCCGCCAACGTATGTAGGGAGAGCATCTTTGTCATCCCAGTCACTCATCGGGTTCGAAACACATGCTTCGATGCACAAGGGAATTTGGCTCTCCGCCCCTCCCTTACCATGTCGTTGACGATCACAGCGAGCGATAGCTGCTCCTCCCTCGCCTGCCGCAGCACGTTACTCATTAGCGTCGTCTTCCCTGCCCCTAGGAACCCGGATAGCAGCGTCACCTTCATCACTGCTGCTGGCGTTGCCGACTTGTCACTGCTGCCGCCGTTGCCCCCTTCGACAACAACACCGTCACCCGCCGCTGTAGGTCGAGGGATCCCGCTCTCTCTCTCGGCTCCTGCTGCTGATGCGGTCGGCGTTGTCGCGAAACGCGACTTCGTGGCAATCTCGTTGAGACGATGATGATGTCGCTGCCACCACGGTTGGAGTCGCTGCACCCCGCTGCTGGCGGTGGCCCTCGACGAGGAGAACCAGGGAGAGCGGAAACCCATGAACACTTCCCGTGTTGTCGCTCTTCGCCCACCCCTAGCCGGGCCCTGCGACGCGATGCTTCCTCTACCGGTCCTGCTTGTGGTCGTTGCGATCGTACCGATGAACGCCGCCGGTTGCAGGCGGCGCGTGGTTGAGGCAAGAACTGATCGCCTCATCATGCTGGCATTCACGAGCAACGCGTACCACACTGCGGCAGAGCCTGGTGACATATCGCGCAGCCGCATCGGCGATGGTGAGGCAGAGAGGCTGGTACAGGGTGCGTCAGCGTCTCAGCGAGCGAGGTAGCGAGTGGTTGGTACCTCAGGCCGCCGATGATGAAAGTCGCCGCGTTGCCGTCTGCCGTCGGTTGCGTGTGCAACTTCTGACAGTCCCGCCGACTGCGGCGGGTTCGTTTGGCAGTTTGCAGCAGTTTGCAGCAGCAGTTGGTTGGCGTCTGCGGGAAAACAAGACAGAGGGAGGGAGCGAAACAGCCTCGAGGGAGCAGGACAGCACACCGACAACGAGCTGGTGCGGGGAATTCAACAGAGGGGATTCGAATGCGGTAGCAGAACTAGCTGGTCTACGATAGCAGTAGCACGGAACCAGGGCGAGGGCGCCTCCATCACCGGACTTACGACTACCGCTGAGAGGTTTCGTCGCCACACCAGCCCTTTTGACGAAGAGCCGCGGCCGTTTCAAACATGGCTGTGAAGAATACTCTACAGTCGGCGTCGTCCTCCAGCCTCGCCCTCGGTGCCGGCCTGACGAGCCTCGTGGCGGTGTTGGCCTACCGCATCGGCGTAATCGAGAGGAGGAGGCGTCCCTCGGGCGCGCGGTGGCAGCCGTCGAAGCGGTCTGCCGAGCTCACTCGGGGAGGAACGCCGGCGCACATCCTCGAACACATCGCAAGATTAGGCGACCCGGACTATATCTGCCTCTCCATCGCCGAGAACAAACTGACGGTGTGATGCATATGTGATAATCGTCTGTGTTGTGTGGCCGCAATATGGTACAGTACGTTCAGTGTTGTGGGTCCAGCGATGCGCTGTTGTTGCAGATGGCACTGCGCCGTACCACATAGGCTACAGTCTGTACATATGAACAGACCAGAGCTAGAATAGGTTGCAGGTGAAGGTTGAGTTGGTTTCCGCACATCCGCTCGCTGCCCAGCTGCGCTTGGTGTCACTTCAGTTTTAGAGATTTCTCGCCGCCCTCGCCCCTGAATGCGCGCAACGCCAACAACTCAAGGTTGGCCCTCTGCTGGACAAACTCCGCGAGTTCTCGGTCACAGCAGCGCAGTTTCGAGGAGTCGGAGAGCCGCCAAGGCAACGCCGCGCTTCCATCACCACCGCCATCACGAGCGACAATAACAGGGGCCTCAACGTGGCCGGCGACAGCTCGGACGTCGACTCCGCGGAAGAAGGCGCCGCCTTGGGTGCCGCTGCCACCGCCACGACCCCGACGGCGCGGCCGGCAGACATCTCGCCGGCCGACATCAGCACAGCAGGAACGGTGGTGGCCAGCCCTATGGTGGTGGGAGAGCCCGCGCACTCGACGATATCGTCGACATCAACGGCAGTGGCACCCTCTAGTCACCGACTCGCTTCCATGGGCTACGGGGAAGTGAGGGGCCCGCTGTGGGTACGGCGGGAGATTGCGCAGATGATGGGGCGGCGTATGTTCCACCGGGACGATGTGGACCCGGACAACGTGGTTATCGCCGCAGGGGCAACCTCCGTCTTGAGGTGAGCAGGGGAGTGGGGAGAAGGCGAAGCGGTGTAGGGCGTGTGCATGAAACTGGGGACTACGAACACGCGGAGAAAGGGAGGTTATAGGGCGAGCAACGTGACGCAGAGAAGAATGAGCAGGCGATGTTGGCAGGAAACGGGCACAAGTGAACCTACCGGAAGATATTGGAAAGAGGGGGGGGGGGGGGGGGGGGG